ATTCCTGAGCCTTGCACCTCAGGATGAGTTACTGTATATTATTGGCCAGTACTAAATTGACACCCATTTCTAACTGGGATGGAACATGTCTGCTTTATTCATCAAGGGAATCTCAGCACTCTAAAAATATGAGAAGCCATTGGATTCCTTTACTCTGCTTTGAAGTGATAGATAAAACATCCAGTGTCACTTACTGACTGGCTCCTGGCACCTAACTTGGTTGTAAATAGCGGAGCCCAGCACCTCTGTTGCTTTATACTACTAAAGGACACGTGTGGTCTGACATACTTAGTCCCTAAATGACGTGTGCTTCATTTTCCTTTCTTTCTAGAGCAATTGAAAATACAGTTCTGTCTATGGCTAAATGTAATGGTGCAAAACATGCTGGAAGGGACCTCAAAGTCTTTTAGTTCATCCCTTGCCTTAAGGCAGAATCAGTTCTCATGTAGCCAGATGTTTTTATTTCAAACAAAAACACAGCTGTTTAAGAAATGCTATTAGGATTTCAGCAGTATTCTTTACTGGTGAAACTTTGGAAGCCAAATCTTTATTTTCATATGCCAGTGTGAGAGGATTGTCCCTGGTGGTCAGAAAAAGTTGTTGGAAGCCAAATGCATTAGAAAAGCAGTCAAAGAAGGTGGTCTCTTGGTGTTTTTTTTTGTGATGGCTAAAGCTTAAACTAAACCTTAGTTTACCTTCTGAACTTCACTTTCTTTTGTAATATGTATTATAAGTAGTATAATACTGTGAATGTTGTTACAAAGTGCAGGAAGTTAATCCAGCAAATAGAATCTGAAAATATGTAACACAAACTACAGTTCTATATAATTTTGTGCAACATTTCTGTGAGTTTTAAACTCTGGTGTCAACATGATGCAGCCTGAGGCTAAAGTGTGTAGTGTGTGTGGTTACCAGTGAGTCCTGGTTGAAGAGAAGTTGCTTAACCTTGCGCCGGTGAGCTGCGGTTCTCATCCATGGTGAACTACACTTTACCCTGGTAATATTAAAGGTGTCGTTCAGAGACATTTGGGGTGGGCATTAATGGTGAAAGGTAATTTCCAGCCTCATTTTAAAGTAAAGCCGATTTGATGTTTAGCAATGCTGCTGCTCAGACAGGAATGACTTATTTTCTTAAACTATGTTGTGGAGATTCAGGCTTTGTTGTATTTTTGTTGCTTTTTAGGAAATGATTGAACCATACTGCTGTTTTAAAGAGGGGCAGCAGAAGGCTTTACACATTTCTTTCTGCTCCCTTTAAGGTTGACCTGTGTTTAGAGTGTATTGAATGGGCCAAATCAGAGAAGAGGACTTTCCTACGCCAGGCTCTGGAGGTATGTTACATTGCAGATCTCAAACCTGTGTGATAGCCTTATCCCTTTATCAGATTTAATACCTATAAAAGTAGAGAACTTGTAGTCTGTTGTCCAGATCTTTGTACATGTGATGGATGGGCGATTGCAATCACTCCGAAGTTGGTGACTCTCCTTGAATAGGCAGGGTTTTACCCATTGGGTTTAAACTAGCCCTCTTCCAAATGATAAATCTTGCAGAATTGGACCATATGATGTAATGAATGCAAACTAATTTAGGAAAGTCTGTGCAGATATGAATATAAAGTTTCATTTTACAAAATAAATCTGTACTACCTTTCTCTGGCTTTCCTCACAGCAGTACCTTTTCTGTTCTCCAGGCGAGGCTGGTCTCCTTGTACTTCGATACCAAGAGGTACCAAGAAGCACTGCAGCTAGGTGAGTCTCCCACTAGATGGTGGTAGTAGTTCTTTGCTGTGAAATTAGTCTTGAGGCTGACAAGTCATGTTCTTTGATAAGTTTTGTAGGACTTGGGCATTAATTTCTCAGTGCTGTACCAGATCTGCTGTCTTTTACTCCAGCTTTAAGAGATCTCTTTGTTCTCACCATTTGTTTCAAATAATCTTGGAAGCAGAGAGGAGCTGTATCCAGCTGAAGGGCATCAGGTTTGGCTCCTACTGGAACATACGTAGTATACTGCTATGGTCGAAGAAGTTGAAGGGAAAAACCAGCTTTCTTCAGTTTGCTCAGTTATGGCCTCAATAAAAGCAGTAGTAATGCCAGGAAGTGGCAAAACTCTAAGGATGTAATTAGACAAGCTCTTGTGAAGTAGTGTAAAGGCTTTAAGAACTTGCTTCTGCACCACCTGAGATATGGTAATTAACCATGTGAACTCTCCTACTCTGCTACAAAGCAGAGTAAAGCAGGTCATCTTACATGGCCCAACTCCCTTCGGTGCTTTACAAATGCTCATTTTGCAAATGACTGCAGTAATGTAAGATGAAGGTTAAGCTGGCTAAAGGGTATTTGTACAGACTGCTCCGCCCGCTCAGCGTCTGGGTATGAGCAGGGCTGAGGGATGACTGCACTGACACGGACAGAAGTGCTCACCTGGGCAGTGGTGATGCCTCACCGGGGACCTGTAACTTCCTAAACAGTGTGCTGGCAAAAGCGTGTGTCATGTCCAGAGCCACCTGGGTGACTTGTGTCAGATCAGAATATCAAGTTATGTTAAGTGCTCTGATACATGGAATTCAGTATCAACTTAGAATTAGTTTGCATACAGATATGTAATGAACTCAGATTTAAAGTGGTCAGAGTCCACACTCCAAAGTGATGCTTAATTAAGTTAATTAATGATGGTGGTACAGCTTAGGGACTTGTGAAGGCCTGTACCTATAGGACAGCCTCTCTGAAAGCTCTGCTGAGATGGCAACGTTGTGCGCTAGCATTTCTGTGTGGCTGGCCAAGACGTGGTTATGTCTGCGGCCGTGGGGAGTAGGTGTGAGCAGAGTCTCTACAGGATGTCCATTCTCCTCCACCTAGTTGTGCAGCTTCAGCTGTGGTTTTCAGCTTCTAAGCACAGCAAGTGAGGACGAGGTTCTCATCTCTGCTTGCCCTAAGTTCGCTCTTTAGTTCATAGCAAGGGAAAAGAAGGAGAAGAGTTTCCTTCCAAGGCTGGGTCTTTCTGTCCTCACAAGGCTTTAATGTGACAGTTTATCTAGGCTGCCTGTTCCTACCTCCTAAATTTGATCTGTAGATGTCTTGTGCTTAAAACATTCTGTCCCATAGTCTTGGGAGCTGCTTGAAAATCCTAAGGTCTCACCCTAGGGGAATAATGCAGGAACACGCAAGACTTCAGGTTTGCTCCGGGCTCTGAATGCGAGCGGTAAATCATGCTGTCATCTGGGGAAGGGGTACCAAAGTGACCATCTGAACTGCACAACATATCCTTGGCTTTCTGCTGAGTGTCTGCTGCCCATGATGAGGTGGCAGAGACACACTGTCCACATACCCAAGTATTCTCACTACCCTCTTCCATCTCTAACACAGAACTGGTTTGTTCTTCTCTAGCCGTGGACTGACAGCGGCCTACTATTAATTTCCTCTCCTTTGTTCCTTCTTGGAAGAACAGGTTGCCTAGCCTCCCTTCCTCAAAGCTAGTACTGCTGTGGGGGAAGGAGGGTGTCATCTGGAAAGGCTTGGTTTGTGAAGTTGTTGATAGCAGATGCAGAGCAGGTTACAAAGGTTCTTGTTCTTCCCTGCTGCTAGGCTCCCAGCTTCTTCGGGAATTGAAAAAGATGGACGACAAGGCATTGCTGGTGGAAGTGCAACTGTTAGAAAGTAAGACTTACCATGCCCTGAGCAATCTGCCAAAAGCAAGAGCAGCCTTAACCTCTGCGCGGACTACAGCCAACGCAATCTACTGTCCACCTAAGCTGCAAGCAGCGTTAGACATGCAGTCAGGTAAAGCCCTTCAGGAGAAGGGGGAAGTCTAGGACTCGTCATGATGCATCAGTTGACTGATACTTGTTCTTTCCTGAGTGAATCATAGAAAATGATGCTAGGTGGGGACCTCAAGATACCTACCAGTCTGCCCATCTGCCTCAAGGCAGGATCAGCTATAGTTACACTGTTCCTGACACATGTGTTTTCAGCCTGTTCTCGAAAATCTCCAGTGGTGGAGAGTCCGTAACGTCCCTAGGCACTACAGCATTACACCATGTTAGTGTAACTGTAGCATTGTTCCTGACCTCATTTGCAGGTGCTTACCTGAAGTGCCCTGAACTTGTCTGTCTTAACACGTCCCCTTGAGAGGGCATGGATGTTCTTCTGCTAGAAAGAAAGGGTTCTCTTTACTGAAGTACCAGATAAAGCACTGGGCAACCAAATTGTTCTGTCCTCTTCCAGTCACATTCTGAATTAACTCTGATGCCTGCCTTTTTGTTCCTCTCAACAGGTATTATCCATGCAGCAGAAGAGAAGGACTGGAAAACAGCCTATTCATATTTTTACGAGGCATTTGAGGGATATGATTCAATTGACAACCCAAAAGCCATCACTGCGCTGAAATACATGTTGCTGTGCAAAATCATGTTGAACATGTACGTGGCAAATGGTTCTGTGAAGAACACTTCCTGCATTTAAATGGGAAAGGCCTTTCATATATAAGACTCTAAACTAATGAAAGAACTCAAGCAGACAAGCTTTGCCGTTTGTCTTTATGACCTAGTCAATGCTTCTGGTACAATGTTATTTGAAGTGTAGTAATTTTCTATCAGTTGGGAATTTTTGAGGCACACTTAGATTTAAGCTGACCATGTTGTTGAATGAATGCTCTCTTCCCTCCCCTCTCTAGCCCGGAAGATGTGCAGGCATTAGTGAGTGGAAAGCTCGCTCTGCGGTATGCAGGAAGACAGGTATAGAAATTTCATCCTTTCTATCTTCCTGTTATCTCTGAGAATATTGTGTAACTCTTTTTGTCAAATACTTTGGTCTTTTCATACCAAAATACCCTTCACTTCTGAGTGTCCTGACGAGATCCAGAACTGATTAAATTACCATAAGTAATTACCGTAAGTCTGTTGCCTTCAAAGGGAATACAGTGATTTTCACTACCTGAGAATCTGGCCTGCTCGCTTCATTTTCTGTCTTTCCCCTGCCTGCTTTCTTCATGAAGTACCAAATGCCTACTGCTGTAAGGCACTCATGTCTCAACCCTTGCCAGCCGCTCGGCAGCCACGGATCTGATGTATTTAAATCTAAGTTATTCATTGTTTTTATTTGTGTTGTAGCAAGTCCTGAAAATCCATTCATAGCAGTATGCTCATTCTGAGCAGCTTGAGACCTAGATGAGTGTAAGGTGGAAGCCAAGCAGCTGGGAAGTTGTTAAATCAACTGTTTATTCTAACATGTTAGCTTGCCAGTCTGTGAATGCCACCCTCATATTAAATCCAGGGATGCTTATATAAAGTACAGGGCCAAAAGCCGAGCGTGCCGAGGTCTGAGCCAGGCTTGCACACTGGTGGCCTTGGTGGCTTTGGTCAGCCAGCTATTTACTTTGACACAGGAGCTAACACTTGCCTATCACACAGAGGACTGGGGAAGCTATTTAGCTAGATCAGTGAGCAGACATGCATAGAAAACAGTCTGAAGTGGGACTATCCCTGTGTTACACCACTCTAGCTCTGGTGAGTCCTGCTGGATCACAAAGGGTAGCCCTGCTTCATCCCCTTCCCCTGAGTGACAGCTGGGTTGGAGGCTTCTTTTCAGAGCAGGAGGGCAGTCTGCCATGGAGGAAATCTCAGCTGTTCCCTGCACCGTCCTCCTGAGACATCAGTGATCACGAGTTCCTGCAGCAGCTGTGGAAACTGAGCTTAGGGAGCAGAGCGCAAGTGGGCAGCCTTGGGGACAGCTCGGTGGGAGAAGTGGTAGCAGAAGCCTGGGCCTTGTGCACCATAGCCACCGGGCTGTCCTGCTTGTCTCGTGCACTTGTGCCTCTCACCACTTGGAAACTGTTCTTTTAGTGGTGTTATTCTGTGTAAATAAGGTAGTTTGGTTGTGGCTGAGTCTTCTGCTTTGTTTCAGCAACTGTGGGGTAGACTAGAAACGTTTTCTGATGCTGCCCATGATAGGGTATCTGTAGGACTTCTGCCATGCTTCTGTTGTTCGGCGGCGGTGTGGCGTGCCGAAGGGGAGAAACACAGCTTTAAGGGCTGAAAATGGCCATCTTCATTAAGCAAGTGACAAAATGTGCACTTTCCTTAAAAATTGTATCAAACTTGCTCCCAACCTGCAACCTGATAGGAACTGCAGCTGGTATTCTCAAACCTTGCAAAACTTGAGTTCTTTGTTTCCATGAAGCTGATTTCATGCTGTGTCCTGCAGCTGTTCTGTGTGTTCTCCTTATTAGCAGCTGTTCTTACTCTGCCTGTGTAGAAGGAACACTGGCATGGCTTTGTAGCAAAAGGAACATAACTGCTTTGCTGCTTAAGCATGTTTTCAGTATGCAGCATAGATTGGCTTAATAGCACTGAGGGGAGACTCCAGAAAAAATAACCTCCTCTTGTTTTCTTTCTCTGCAGACAGAAGCACTAAAATGTGTGGCACAGGCCAGCAAGAACCGATCGCTGGCAGATTTTGAAAAGGTGAGTCAGGAGACAGAAAATGGGGCCTGGCTGAACAAAATGTTTTGTTTTGGAAAGTTGTAGGAACTGCTATATCCCACAGCAGGAAACCATAAAAGCATTCATAGAAAGCAATAGTGCATCAAGCAAATACCCCACAATAATCAGCTGGTTTGGTTTTCGCAGCACGGGGAGCAATAGCTGGCTTGAAATGAGTTTTTTTTCCTTTACTTTTTTTTTTCTTTTTCTTGAGAGCAAACTCAGAAGCAGTTTCCTGTACTTTCGGTGCTGTTCAGTGGGATGTGTATCTTCCCCAAATTTTTCCTGGCTTCAGCAAGAACAGCACAGAGATAACAGAGAGGATTCCCATGTTGGGGAACAATCCTGCTATGCTCTCTCCTGAGTGTAAACCAGAGATTCTGGCTTGCTAAGCTCCAGCAGTGTAAAGCTGAAGGATGCTTGCTGCACGGTGCTTGAAGGGCTGCTAGGCTGTCATGACCTCCTGGCCTTTTAGCTGAGTTACGGGATTGGATTAACCACTGATACTTTGCTGGGCAGGGAGGGGAGACTGTTTCATACTTGGAGGGCCTTGAGGACAGGAGACCTGTTGCTACCTGAATTATTTCTTCCCACTCTGTCTTCCGCAGGCTCTGACAGACTATAAGGTGGAGCTCAGGGACGACCCCATCATAAACACCCACTTGGCTAAGCTCTATGATAACTTATTGGAACAGAATCTGATCAGAGTCATCGAACCCTTCTCCAGAGTACAGGTAAATGTTTCCAGCAAGCACACCGCCATGCTGGTACCTCTGTTCCCTGCTGTTGGTGGGTGAGGGACTTGTTCCCGTACAGAATACTTCTTATTCAGAGCTGCCCAGCACTTCCAGAGCTCAGGGTTCATCACGTTCAGCTGATAAATGATAAGGAGGAGGCTGAGGGGAGCTCTGGAGAACCAGCTTCCAGAGTCAGTGTCCTTTCCACCCATTTCACTTACACTGAAAGGTGGATGTGCTTTTAACGCTGAAGGTAACAGTGTTTGGCTTTCAAGGGCTCTGACAGGGTGTGGGTAAAGCTGCAATAATCTTGGAGAAGAAATGTTATTTCATGTTTCAGAGTGAAATGGCTTTAGGTGTCTAGTCACATCTTCACGTCCTTCAGATTTCATATCCAATTTTAACTGATGCTGCAGAGTGGAGACAGCCATTGGAGATTTTTAGGCCAGAGCGTTTACAGGCCTCTGAACTCTTCCGTGGAAGAGCCCCATAACTCTGTGTTGTGTGTCAAAAGTGCAGCTAAAGATTTACTTAACTCTCTTGGTCTCTCTTATAGATTGAACACATATCCAGCCTCATCAAGCTCTCAAAGGTAAGAACATCACTAGAAATCAGTGGCACATCTTAAGAGGGCAAAGGAATTGAGGTCAAACGGCATTTGCCACTGGGAAATAAGCGTAGGCTATTAAGTCTGACAGATCAGCTCCACAGCATTTACAGGCAAATATCACTCTTGGGAAGTTACCTTTAACACGAACAGTTTCCAGGAAGCGTTGGACTGGCTTCTTCTGTGCTAGACGTTGCTGTAACATCACCTGCTTTCACATGGGTTTTACTCCCTGTGTTAGCACTTGGTTTTTATTGGAGACAGATTTTCCTCTGTTGTAGTAACAGCTCATGTCGTGACCAGCTCAGTCGTCCCCACTGACCTGCATTTCATCCTCGTGAGTGTGCCCAGAGGAGTCTCGTCTTAGTTTCATTAGGGATGTGTATGAAATACTGACTATTGCGATAACTGCTTTACAGATAATCTCAACCAGATTAAGTTTTAGGAAAATCCACTGTAGTCCCAGCCAGTTGTATCCCAAAGTGCTTTTGTCCTGTATTGGCATTAAGGTCAGAGATTTGGAGGTGTACTGAGCTCGGCCTTTATGGTCGTTACATCATTTATCCTCCTTTTCTATCTGTGCAGTCTTTTCCTAGACTAGCCCTTGGTGTTTAACACATACTTAATAGTTTGGGTAAAAGCTGGGCTGCAGTTTTTTCTTAACTGCAGCTGTGTGTCCTCTGTCCAAAGAGCAGAAGAGGAGCTGACTGCTGTGGGGCCTCGCCTGGCACTGGGCAGGAGGTCAGCTCACTGCTGAGTGGCTTGCATGGAGCTTGGCCAGCACTTGACTAAATACTTGCAGAACCAAGCTAGAATGCTCCAGATCCCCTGATGAGCCATGCCTGTATGAAACGGCAGAGACTTTTCCCTCTTCTGCAGAACAAGAGCGCAAGCCATCCTGGTACTCTTGCTATGAAAAGCTACTGCTTAATTTCTGATGTCATCTAAAGGGTATGGTAGTATTAAAGCAGCATGTGAGGAGAGATCTGACCTGATGTCATGTTCAGTGATAAAATAGCTGCTTTTAAGCAGTGCTTATATCCTGCCAGGGCTCTTGAGTGTGGAGTAGTAAAATTCACATTTCTTTATATAGTTCAGGAGACTTCTAATTTTTCTGCTTCCGTTTCAGGCTGAGGTAGAAAGGAAACTGTCACAGATGATCTTGGACAAGAAATTTCATGGTGAGTCTCTGCATCCTTCAGTCTTGACTGCCTTGCTGCCCAAGGCCAGGTCGTGTGTAAGCAAGCTGTGGATAGAATCCTCTTTGTCCCTGTGCCTTGGAGCCTTGAGTATCCTTCTTGGTCTGCTCTGCTCCACCTCAGGCGGCAGAGGCGCAGGTTAACGGGCACTATGGGAAGACTGAGCGGGGGGTTTATTTGTTACTTGTGTCATGAAGGCTGTTCCTATTGCTCCTTCCATCTGCCTTCATTAAGCTTGAGGCTTAATTTCTCACAAACCGGAAAGCCCTTGCTTGCTGCGGCTGCATCCAGGGATAGTTGCAAGACCTGCTGGTGGGCTCTCTAGCAAAGATGTGCACTTCTGCCTTGGAGCTTACTGGAGTATGTGGTCACCTATGCTGGATAATTTATATCAAGAGCGTTTTGTGTGTTGGTGGGGGGCACTCGTGCAGCTCAGTTGGTTGGTTTGGGTTTTTCTGGGACCACAGGAGGCTGCTTCTCTAATAAGCCCTCAAGGAAACAGTGTTCTCCTTGTTTACATTGTCCTTAGTGTCGATTTAGAAAGCCCTCTTGATCTAGCTGAGCAAGATGAATGGGAACTGGCTAAAAGAAGCACGTTGGTTAGAATAGCTCAGAATTGCAGGACCCAGCTGCAGTGCCCATCTGGCACCTGGTAATAGTTTAATTATTAAATGGCTTTTGTTTGTTTGTTTGTTTTTTGCCTTGCTCCGGTGTTGTGCTGAGCCATCCTGCTGGGCACAGGAGCCTCGAGGAGGACAGGAGCTGTCAGGGAATGTGCAGGCATAAGCATCTGTCTCCTGAATGTCTTCTTGGGCCCCTTTCCAGGGCATTTTCTCTTTTTGTTTTTTCTCTGGGTGAGCTACTGCTAATGCAGTCCAGATAAAACTCATCCAGCCAGCCCAGTACAACGCATGGGCTCCTTCCAAACCCAGCACAGTTGACCGGCCGTTTGCTGG